TTTCTAGTATATGGCTCATGCAACATGGTGGGGCAAAGCATCTGACTACTAGCCAAAAGGTTGGTTTGAACTCACCAACAGGTGCCTTGGAAGAAAGACCTCAAAGGCTAGTCTTGAAAACCCTATGGAGCAGTTCTATTCTATATGCATAGGGTCTTCATGAGTCAGAATTGACTCCATGGCAACTTAAAACAGCAACATCTTCCTCAAGTGGACACGTTGTTTCCATGGAAGAATTCTGTCACAGGCCCAGCTTAGATTCCTGAACAATGCACCGCATGCTCATTTGTCTCTTAGTGGACACTTGCATGTTGGTATGATATTGAATAGGTTTCAGAGGAGCTTCCGGACTAAAACAGATTAGGACGAAATCCCTGCAATCTACTTCTGAAAAAATCACTGAATGAAAATTTTACAGATCACAAGGGTCTGATCTCGAACCATGCAACGTTCCCTTTCACTGTTCATGTCATAACCATGAATTGGGAGCTCACTGGATGGATGCTAACAAGAACAATCTTTCTCAGAACATAACACAGTTATGGTGGTGGTAGTGGTGTGCCGTGGAGTCAGTTCTGACTCATAGTGACCCTGCATAGGGTTTCTGAGGCTATAAATCTTTATGGGAGCAGAAAGCCTCATCTTTCTCCAGTGCAGCAGCTGGTAGTTTTGAACTGCTGACCTTGAGGTTAGCAGCCCAACTTGTAACCACTATGCTACCAGAGCTCCTTAACACAGATATGGGCCACCTAAAAATAGAAACAAAGGATTCATCTTGATTCTAGTATTATTATCTTGAAATACAGTATTGCTATAAAATATTAAATTGATCTTAAAATTTACTTCATATCTTAAAGTCCACTTCAGAATCCCCATTCTCCTTCCAGCTCATATAATATATTCTATGACCCTCACCATCTTGTATGCTGTTAATGCTATTTTTAAGGTTTGAAAGGAAGAATTTTTCCCAGTTGAGTGTGGGAAAACGTAATGGGAAAACCATAGATGTCCAGGGGCAGTTTAGCAAGATGGAATTGTTTTTCCTCTTTGCTAACAGTTATTTTTTATCTGATATCTTTGTGGTCATAAGATTATAGATTCACTTTAAAAAATGGATTCATCATTTATTACATTATGTCAAAGAAGAATGAATAACTAATTTGATCAAGTTCATGCAGGCAAACAAGGGAAGGACCAAGTCCAGAGCTGAAAGCTAAATCTGTTGTGGCTTGAAGTCCAAGGATCTTTCTGCATACTAAATTTCCTGCTTTGTAGAAGAAGTCAACATTGCCACCCAGATGTATACTCACAGAGGTTCATTCATTTGTTATGTATCATTTTAGGACAGTTACGAATTATAGTGATTTCTTTAAGATAATTAAAAGAAGTCAGCTCTTTAAATGAAAGAGCTACCTAAAATTGTTTATTAATACAAATTTATAAAGTATTAGCAGCATCCTCTGAGTAAGAAAATATCTAGCTATTTAAACATGAATATTCTAAGAATATTTCCATTCTCTTTTTTCTTATATGTTTTTTGAAGATTATCACTTAAATGGAGTTTCACATTTTCAAATACAAACAAGAACAACTTGGTGGTTTGAAATACTTGATGCCCTGAGATGTTTTGTTCCTAGTATTAAAGCTTTTATTTAAACCATTGCATGGGGTTATATAACGTCCTTTAAATTAATTTATGACACATAGAACTGAAATACAAATGCTAAACTTAAGAGTAAGACAAACATGACTTTCATAAGTATGTTTTTAAAATAAATTACAAATTAGTTGTTTAAACAGTTTGAGCACATTTGTCATGATCAATTCTACTTACACAAAAAAGACATAATTAGTATTGAATGCATACATTTACTTAAGTTAATTTAGTCATTTTTTTCCTAACTACAACTATACTTCATTCTAGATCATTTGGTAAATAGTTAGATTTTAATTTTTCAACAAATACAATTCATAGAAAGACTTTATTACCATTAGAGTGTAGAAAATCCAATTCAAACTACTATGAAAATATGTAAAATCTTCATTTAAATATGTGCATTAAGGTTTTCAGGAATCAATAATTATATTGCCATTGTAGGCAAACATTTGGAAGGTAAAATCATATTTAGAAAGATCTGAGAAAGTTTCACGAAGTTCATGGAAGAATTCTACTATCTTTTAGCTCTATTTTTTCACAAATGTTTGAAGCCCCCTAGGCGTAGTGGTTATGAATTGGGCTATGAACTGCAAGGTCAGCAGCTGCTCCGCAGGAGAAAGATGAGGTTCAATGGTTCACTAGAAGGACTCACAGAATTCAGAAAACCTGTTATACTCATGATTATAGTTTATTACAGTAAAAGCATAGATTAAATTCAGAAAAGGAAAGAGGCACACAGAGCCTCTGGACTAGCAGGATTCTTGGACTAGGAGGAAGATTTCCATTGTCAATTGAGATCTAATACTTCATTTTGCTTGGAGCCACAATCAATACTCATGGAAGCAGCAATCAAGAAAACAAAAGATATATTCCACTAGACAAATCTGCTATAAAACACCTGTTTAAAGTGTTAAAGAGCAAAGATGTCACTTTGAGAACTAAGGGGCAGCTAACCCAAGTCATGGTATTTTCAACGATCTCATATGCATTTGAAAGTTGGACATTGAGTACAGGAAAATCTTAGATGAATCAATGCATTTGAATTATGGCATTGGTGAAGAACACCGAAACTACCATGGACTGTAAGAAGAACAACAAACAAATCTGTGTTAGAAGTACAGTCAGTATGCTCCTTAGAAAAGAAAATTTGAAAGTAATCAACTAAAACTAGTAATAAATCATGCACTTCAACATAAAACAAAACTCCTTATACCCATAAGCAACATCATGATAATGCAGAATATGTTAAAGTTGTCATGGATTTCATTTTGCAACAGTAATAAGCTGAAGCAATTGCAAATTTAGAAAATAAATTTAAATCTGAAACAGGCTCCACTTCTCTTGGATTTCCTGATATTAAATGTTACTGCAAGTGTGTTTCTCTGTATGTGGTGAAGGACACAGGGAATTTCGAATGCCAATATTTAGGACTCTGGTGTTACACTGCAGGGTAATGCCCTGGACCAGAAAGTCAGTTTAAACATAAAGGTTCAAACCCACCAGCAACTCCTCGAAAATCCTATACAGGGTTGCTATGAGTCAGAACCAACTTGATGTCACATGAAGTCCTGGTGTGGTGCTGTAGGATAAGCTACTATTAACTCTAAAGTAGTTGATAATTCAAGTCCACCAGCCACTCCTTAGAAACTTTATGCAGAGTCACTGAGTCAGAATGACTCGAAGGCATGTGACAAGAACAAAACAAAAACAACTTTCATAGAGGAAACAGATTAAAAAGAAATTATGACAAGAAGAAATACAGGGAAAGATTCCCTCCAAATTTCTCCAAGGATACTTCACTACCTCCAGTATTTAGTGAACTGATAAACATTTCTCTTGTGTTGTAGCACAGATTGGATACCAGAGAAATAATTCTTCCTCACAGGTCTTCAAGTGAGATTTTTGTTATTGCATTAGAAATCTATCATAAGCTTACCCTGAGATGGGGAGCATTACTTAATGTGATTTAAAATATTTCCTTGAAATCATATCCATGAATCTACTTTGAGTGTAGCACTAAATAAAAAATTGAAGAGATAACTTTAGTATCAGTTCATTCTACTCCTAACTGTATTTTACATTTTAGTTCTAAATTCTTGAAGTACAATATAATAAAAGCGATGATGCTCTTGGTCCTTGAAGTTTCAGAATCATTGTATTCAAACTTTTAACTGTATCTGTCAAATATATCAAGCTCTACTAAAATTTATCTTTTCTTTAAGTCTGAGGCAGCAGGTTAGTGGTCCAAAACTAGGGCAACAGCATCTTTCAGTTCATGAATCTGTAGATACATATTTTCTCTGACAATGAATAAATGTACAAAATATGACTCTAGGGAAATCTGAGGTCATCAGAAATGAAATGGAATACATAAGATCTATATTCTAGGGATTAGTGAGCTGAAATGGACTGGTATTAGCCATTTGGTATTGGATGATTTTATAGTCTATTATGCTGGGAATAAACAATTAAAATTGAATGGCATTAAATTCACAGTTGAAAAGAACATTTCAATATCTATTCAGCAGCACAGCTCTGCCAATGATAGGATAGTATCCATATGCCCACATGGAAGACTAGTTAGTATGACTACTATTCAAAATTAGACACCAAACAATAGGGTCAAAGATGAAGATTTTTAACATTTTTACTAAATTCTTCTGTTTGAAACTGATCAAATATTCAATCGAGATGTTGTTGTTGTTGTTGTTAAGTCAGTTTCAACTCATAGTGAACCATATAGGGTTTCTGAGGAGCGGCTGGTATATTTGAACTGCTGACCTTGTGGTTCAAGCCTACCTGGCCATCAAGCACCTTATCCTACAGCACCACATCCAGACTAACTGATAAGTACTGCTAATGGAATGTAAATGCTGGAAACCAAGAAGTCATCAGTAGTTGGAAAATATGGTCTTGGTAACAGAAATAACACTGGCAGTCTCATGGAAAAGGTTTTGCAAGACCAGCAACTTATTCATTGCAAAAACTTTTTTCAATATCATAAATGAGGACTATATTCCCTGGCCTTGACAAGAGGCATACATAAGAATGAAATCAAATGCATATATGAAAAGAGATGATGGAGAAGCTCAGGCCAGGGGTCCACTGTGGAACAAGCCATCAATTCTTCATATGCAAGTTCAAGTTTTAACTGAAGAAAATTAAACAAACACAAGAGTCAAAATACAACCTTGACTGACTGTACAGAAGCAGTGGTTGAGGCAGCGTTCTCTCGGTCTCTGAGAACTTGGTATCATGGCCAGCCAGTCATACATACCAAGAGAAGGAGCAGCAGGAGCAGTTTGAATCTATGCAGAGTCAGGGACTCAGAGACCTGAACGATATGGTCGCCCCTGTGCCTAGAAGTGCCTACGGGACCAGCAATCCAGAACCTGTTGACCCGGTTCCTACAGCCTCCAGCGAGCTGGCTCCTTCGGTTGCTCCACCCAGCAGCAATGAAGGTTCAGCCACCGCTGCAGCCGCGAGTACAGCCACAGCCATTTGGGTGCCTGGTGAGGATCCCGGGCTGCGCTCTGTGGACCGTGCACAAACGAAGAGGTCCGACTTCCAAGGCAGCCGGAGTTCCGACGGAGACCTTGCAAACAAGTTGCAGCCCAGTAATAGCTGCCCTTCTCCGGCTCCATGGAGTGAAGCATCTCGGCCAGGCCCTGCACTCCGAAGCCATACTAAACCACGAGGCCCTACTCTCGGCAGCTTCGCAGCCACACCAGACACTCCTGTCTATAGCCAAGCTCACCATCGTGGTGACCAGTCAGACCCTGTTCCTGGTCGCTCCCATGGCAGCTCTGAAGCACCAAGCCCGGCTCGTGGCCGCCGCCGCCGCCGCCATAGTGCTGATGCACCAGGTACTGCTCTTGTCTGCAGCGCTGAAGTGCCAGGCCCTGTTCCTGGCCGCTCTGAATCACCAAGTCCCACCCATGGGCGCACCCGACGTGGCCGCCGCGGCCGCCGCACCGAATTACCAAGCCCAGCTCGTGGTCAAGGCCATCAAGTGGAAACTGCAACCCCTGCTCTTGGCCGTCGCCATCACCGCCGCGTGGAACCACCAGGCCCTGCTCAGGGCCGCGGCCAACACCGTGCAGAATCACCAAGCCCGGCTCTTGGCCGCCGTGGCCGCCAGCACCGCGTGGAACCACCAGGCCCGGCTCTTGGCCGCCGTGGCCGCCAGCACCGCGTGGAACCACCA